ATCTCTATGTTCCAGCAAACAGTTCTGGAGAACCATGCTCTTGGGGAAGACTGATGGTGTTTATGCCTCAGAAGCCCCACCTGACCCATGCTAGATGGGATCTCTCCCTTGCACCTAATTGTAATAGTGATTTTACGCCTTTTTAGCCTTGCTTAATGTGTGTCTTTAACCATATTTGTAATACCAGCCATGGTAACCTATTTGAATGTAGAAATAAGCAGATTAGTCTGTGCTATGGCAAAAGCTTTGAATACCACCTCATAAGCCATCAGTGCCATTAGTCGAGAATTAGGACTTGTTTGCATCAATATGGATAGACCTAGAAGGTGTTATGCTAAGTGAAATTAAGTCAGAGAAAGACAAATCCTGCATCATTTCACTTATGTGTGGAGTCTAAAATAACTAAAATGAGCAAACAAAATAAATTGACCCATAGATACAGAAAAATTGATAATTGCCCCAGGATTGGGCAGTGGGGCTATGGGCAAAAAGGTTAAGGGGATTAAGAAGTACAAACTTATAAATAAGTCCTGGGGATATAAAGCACAACACAGGGAATATTAATAATATTAATAATATCACAATAACTTCATATGGTGACAGAGGGATAGTAGACTTTTTGTGATCACTTTGTAAGGTATATAAATGTGAAATCTCACTGTTCTACACCTGAAACTACTATAATGTTGTATGTCAACTGTATTTTAATTCAGAAGAGCTTTACATTTCAGAATAAAAATTAGACATAAAAAAGAATTGTTATTAGTTTATTTTTACAGATGATTAAGAAGGGGTCAGAAAAAGTAAATTTATTTGCCTGAAAATATAATATTAGTTAGTAGTCAGAGCTAAGATTTATATGCAATTTTTCTTCAGTATTAAATCCCTCTATACCCAGTATCCTGCTATCTTCCCACTGGGTCACATGCAAAGCAGCATTTGGCACTCATTCTAGTCTTTCTTAATAAGGAAACTTTGGGAGCTTCTTTTCCTTAGCAGTCTTCTAGGAAGAATGCCTTGTATGGTGTGGGTGAAGCCCAGAATTGACTTATTACACTCTCCGACAGAAACATAGGGATGCAACTGTATCAATAACCTAATTCTAGGCACTTAGATAAATAATTCCATCAACAATTCTACTGAACTCCCACAACAGACAACATTTAACTTTTTCTACAGAAAGTTAAACCTTAAATTTCAAAACAAAAGTAATAGTTATACTATTGAGGCTTCCTAACAGTGAAACTGATAGAGTCAAATACAGAATTACTAAAAATATCAATGAATAGTGTAAATTAATAAAAAAAAACTTTACATGCCCAAACGATATATACTAATACCTACCCAATTTGTTTCTGAATTTGAAGGTTTATGTGAATCACTGATTGGAATAAGGAATGTGATATACCTATCAGCATGCTATTTAAAGACCATCTACATCCTCTGAAATTCTTGTGCTTTTTCTGCCCATGTAAATCCACTCTTAAACATTTAATTAACATCTTAGTCCCACTGAGGTGTATATAGTTAGTCTATTTGTGTAGGTAATTGATAGTGATGACAAAAGCATCATATTACTGTTGAAAAGTTAAAAATTGAAATTAAGTAAGAATATTAATATCAAAGCTGATTAAGGTTAAGAATCTTGAAACAAAAGTTTATTGTGAAGGACCACTATAACTTGCAATGTAATTTTAAGTTCCTTTTCTTTGAAAAGGAACAATCACCTTTAAAAAATGGAATTATTACTGTGTTCTAGCCTTTCATGCCATATTAATCTATTTCTTCAAAGGTCCATCACTGTTTGTCTCAAGCATGCTGACTGCCCCTGAAGGGAGAATTACAAAAGCTATTTAATCTAACAGCATGTGGTTCTAAAAAAGAATGTACTTGTTTTTGCTCCCTATATAATGAGTTTAAACTCATCTTGTACTTTTGAAAAAAATGACTAAAATATCTTTGCTTACATGGCAAAAATGAAAGACAACCCACTAAATAGAACATAATCACCAATGATACATCTGATATGGACTTAATGTCTAAAATTTATAAGAAATTTATAAAACACAACACCAAAAATATCCAATGAAATAAATGAGCAAAGGACCTGAACAGACCCTTCTTCAAAGTGGACATACAGATGGCCTATAGACATATGAAAGGAAGCTCATTGTCACCAATCATCACAGAAATGTCAATTAAAAGCACAAGATACCATCTCACACTTGTCAGAATGGCGATCATCAATAAATCAACAAACAAGTGCTGGCAAGAACGTGGAGGAAAAAGAACCCTCGCCCATCGTTGGTAGGAATGCAGACTGGTGCAGCCACTGTGAAAAGCAGTATAGAGCTACCTCAAGAAAACTAAAAATGGAACTGTTTATGACCCAGCATTTTCACTTCTGGGAATATATCCAAAGAAACCTGAAATACTAATTCAAAAGAATATATGCACCTTTATGTTAATTGCAGTGTTATTTACAATAGCCAAGATTTAAAAGCATCAGCTCAAGTGCCCATTAGTAGATGAATGGATAAAAACCTGTGGTACATTTGCACAATGAAATCCTACTTAGCTATAATAAGGAATGAAATTCTACCTTTATGACAGCATGGATAGACCTAGACAATACTATGCTAAATGAAATAAGCTAGTCAGAGAAAGAGAAGTACCATATGATTACAATTATATGTGGAATCTGATGAAATAAACTAACAATGTCGAGGCAAGCTCATGGATACATAGAACATACTGACAATTGTCAGAGGGGAGAGGGTTGGGGACTGGGTGAAAAAGATTAAGGGATTAAGCAAAGAAAAAAAAAGACTAATGGACAGATTACAGATAACACTGCCAAAGGGGGTAGACGGAGGTAGAAGATGTAAAGCAGGGATAAATGCTAATGGAAGGAAACTTGACTTGGGGTGGTAAATACACAGTACGATATCCAGATGATGGATTTGAAAACTATATAATCTTATTAGCCAATGTTACCTGAATAAATTCAATAAAAAGCAATACTTAAAATTAACATATATCTGCACAGTGCTCTTTGCTATGCTCTCCACTTGTCTGAAACAATATGTTCTCTGTACATATTTATAGGAAACTTGAGTCTTGAAATATCTATATTTTACATGAAGTCCACAACACAGTGGTGATAGGAGTGGCCGAGTAAGATTTTTAAGAAAACAAAGACAAGGATGAATAGTGATGAATGCTAACAAATCCTGAATAATTATTCCAAGTGCTCATAATCAAGAATCCTCTCTAAGATCACTGCTTGTAAAAATGTGGCTTTTCACAGACACTTCATGTTGCCTCTTTGAGGTTAAAATACATACATAGAGAGTTTTCCAAATAGCTTTTAGCAGAGGAGCAGTATAATTAAAAAAAGAAACAAATAAACTCTGAGCTCTAAGAAGTGAAAGGGTTATAGTATTTTTCATTTTGTTTGACCCTCGAGTGTAAAGTTTTAAACATAATTGCTCCTCTACACTTGCCTACACGAACTGATATAGAAATTCTATAAATGTTATTTAACAGCCTAAGGGCTCATAAGTAAATGAGTGGATCAAAAAACTGCAGTAAATTTACACAATGGAATACTATACAGCAGAAAGAAAGAAGTAGCTCCTACCTTTCATGACAGCATGGATGAAACTGGAGAGCATTATGCTAAGTGAAATAAGCCAGGTGGTGAAAGACAAATACTATATGATCTCACCTAATCAGCAAAACAAACAAATGAGCAAACTAGAACCAGAGGCTTGGAGACAATGAACAAAATGACAGTGACCAGAGGGAAGTGGGGAGAGGGTAACAGGGGGAAGAAGAAGAAGGTTCTAGTCAAGGAACACACATAAAATGTCCATAGTAATGGACAACAATGTGGAGACTGACTGAGGAGTGGGGTGGGGGGTTGTGTGGGACAGGGGAGAGAAACGGGGAAAAATTGGGAAAACTGTAATTGAACAACAATAAAAAAAATCAAGAATGACAAATATTTTCCAAAGTCTTTAATACTGTCCTATTTCTTTCTGTATAATTTTTATTCCATCTCACCATCCCCAGTAGAAGCTTCTCAACCTTCCATGTTTTCGCAAAGTATAGTTTAGAAGCCACCTACAAAGGAACCACTTGAATTGACTTTTAAAATCAAAGTTCCACCCTGGCTGGCATAGCTCAGTGGATTGAGTGTGGGCTGCTAACCAGGCAGGTTCGATTCCCAGTCAGGGCACATGCCTAGGTTGCAGACCATGACCCTCAGCAACTGCACATTGATGTTTTTCTCTATTTCCCTCTCCCCCCCCTCTCTGCCCCTTCCCTCTCTAAAAATAAATCAATAAAATCTTTTTAAAAAAACTTAAAAAAAAATCAAAATTCCTGGGCCCACTTAAACACACTGGATTTGAATAGCTGAGGCCAAGGTTTCAGATCCACACATTTACCAAAATCCAAAAAAATACCACAGTAAAAAACTGATGACCATTCTGATTAATGTTAAAACTATTTGCCTTGAGATTAAGCTCCTTTAAATTCTCTCTCTCTTACACACACACACATATATAATACCTACAGTCTTTATATGATCGTCCAACTGCCCCTGCTACTATCCGCGAATTCACAGGAATACATCTTATATTTATTTATTTCATGCACAATAAAAGCTTTATTATTCATAAGCTTTTAAACATTTGCAAAAATTTAGAAATGTAGTTTATGTAGAGATATACTTTAGTGCACATTAATTGGTAGAGATTAATAGAAAAACAGAAAAAGCATAACAAATAACCATCTTTAAGTATTTCTTTGGGCAGTACTCCTGTTTCTGATATGAAAAAAGAGATCAAGATATCCTTTGTAAATATCATAGTACATTGTACCAACATTATATCTTTTTTAATAAAGAAATTAAACAGTGTTTAGCAATGTACTAAATCTTCATTTGTACATGGGGAAAATCATGATATCAAGAAGGAGTAAAGAAAACTCACCACTTCTTCATGTCTGCATTTTCTCACATTAATTCCATTTATCTGCAATGAAAGAAAAGCACAGTTTTATGTGATATATTATATGTAATTTTATGTTTTGGTTGACATAGAAGAATAACAGTAAAATGTATACCTGTAGAATTGCATCTCCGATAAATAGGAGGCCTGAAAGTTCCGCTGTGAATAAAAAAGGACATTTGATTATGCATCAACTACTTTCTTCATACAGATGAGTTTTTTTAAACTCATAACAAAAAAAACACCCTTTTATGTGGATATTACCTTAAAAGATGTACAAGGAATGGAAACACAAAAGTAATCATGAGATCCAACCCAAATATTGAAACACATACTGAGATATTTCTATTTAGTTCCATTTCAGAATTTACAGTTGTTAAAAAATAGCCTACCTTCTGCATGGATGACTAAATTATCTCAGATACTTACAATTTTAAGGTGTCTATGAAAAAGTTTAGATGTAGACATTCAATTCATCAATCATTGAATCAGCTCCAAATTTCTTTTTAAACATTTGATTATCTTACACATTTCAGTCATTTTAGTCACTTTATATCTTTAGTATTTTCCTTAGGTAAAATTTTATGTGAAAAGTTAACTGAGTTAAGTTGCACATAGGACCTGAAAATATTGGGTTGTCCAAAAATTTCACTTATTTATTTTTTCTATACAGTGGCTTTAGTAGCACTTAGTTGTCTATAACATAATTCAAAACAATTTTGTTAGACTGTATTGTGACAGCTGTCATATCAGTGTGCATTTTAAAAAACTTATCAAAATGTGAATTTTTGTGTAGCAATTTTAATATTGAAGGAAGAAAATATATAACATTTATGGCATATTATGTTTTATTAATTTAAGAAAGGTAAAAATGTAACTAAACACATAAAAAATGTGCAGTGTATGGAGAAGGTGCTGTGACTCAGTATAAGTGTCAAAAGTGGTTTATGGAGTTTCTTGGTACTATTAATTTCTTGGCCAAATAATTCTTTGTTATGGGGCTATCTTGTGCATTGGAAGATGTTTAGCAGCACCCATGGCTTCTACCCACTAGAAGTCAATAGCAAGAGATAGCCAACATGAATAAAATGTTCAAATCAGTAAAGTTATTGGTGAAAATGAAAAATATGTCTTTTATGAAAAAAACCTAAGTGATTTTTTGGCCAACCCAATAACATATATATCTAAATTTGCTTATATGTGATGTGACTTGTTCTCAGTACATATGTTTGTATGTTTGTTTAATGAAACAATTGAAAAGTTATGCACTCCTCAATCTATACACAGTGATATGTTCTCTTATCTTTCATGAAGTCCTTCCTTGGAATAATAAAGGGCATAGTCTCAGAAATCAGACTCAATCACATACTGCCTGGTCATGGGGAAGCTGATCAATGACGTACTAATTAGCTAGTCAATGACATACTAATTTACAATTCTTAAATATCATCTTATTCTTCATTAATAATGGCTTACAAAGGAATGGCTACTGTATAATTCTCTTGGCACTGTACCTCTTTGCTCCTTGGAGATTTTTGAAATGACAACTGGAATGTTATGTTCTGCTCCCCCCTGAAAAAAAGAAAATAATATATTGTGCTTTTTAATCTAAAAAGAAAAAAATAATGCAGTCTTTAGTTAAAAACTATACATGATATGAATAGTATGTTAAGGAATACTACATAAAATTTAAATAAACTTGTGAAATTTCTTCATTATGCAGAAAGTACTTCCAAGACACTTATCTACTTATCCATAATTTCACTGTGGCATCCAATATTTAATAAGTGACTTTGAAAGTTTTTATTTTTCAGATAAAGAATGGCAATATGTTAGTCATTTTTTCAATACATAGCAGTACTTCCCATTGTAGAAATTTCTATTTAGGGCTCAAATACCAGACAATCATGTGTTTCCACTATATGATTAAGTTGTTCTATGCTGGTGACTGAGCACAGACCCTTCTGTGTGCTGAATGACAAGAGAGTCTCTACTGGCATGAATGGACACACAAAAGCAGAGTGTGCATATGTAAGATGGGAAAGATAGTCTGCATATCCTTAATTAGTATCAGATCCATTTTTCAGTAAAAGCACAATGACAGAACAAAACAAAAATGCAAGAATGTTGCAATATTTTTTCTAATTGAGCAAATGAAACATGACAAAAGAAAACAAAAATAACTTAGCCAATTTTATGTAGAATGCAATAAAATAAATCCCTGATATAATGGCAGAAAAATTGTTTCTATATTAAAGAGTTGAGACAGTTGAAAACAATAGTTGGGAAATCAAGTAAGTGCATTAAAGAATAAAGTGTCTTGGAGAAAAGAAGCATAAGCTGGGGCAAAAGTACATTTACAGTTGTGAGCATGAAACACAGAGTTAATTGGTATATTATTAATTATATTTTCCATATAAATAACTGAAAACCTATTTTTGTCCCATCCTGTATAGCACATTTAAGATAGTTTAGTTGAAAAGATTATCTAAATTCCACTGGGGTTTCCCTACTTTCAGAATAAGTATACCTCCTAAGCCACTTTTTTTTCCCAAGGACAATAAATTACTTTATAACAGACATTCCCCGCCACCATGAATGCCTATTTTAACACTAAATTGCCAAAATACTTAAATATAAGATAGGCAGTAGTTCTTAAGAAAAGAAGTGGTTTACAACTTTTCCTTGGCAAGTAGTTCTTTATTTTTCTGGAATATTAAGAAGAAATATGAAAACTAAAATATTGAAAACTGTCTTACTCAATTTGAAATTCAAACCCACAACTCAGTTAACATTTTCTCACTATTTTCCACCAACTCAGTACTTACTCACCCACCCTCACCAACTCAGTGAGAAGTCTCTGGCATAAGCTACACTGGTTCCTAAATCTGTCTTTGCTTTATAGTCTGTGTGTGCCTAACAAGCAATGTTTATGATCTCTCATCTGATAAAAGGGAGAGTAATTTGTGACTGACAATTGGATGGAGGTGAGTGCTTAATTAGAACACAGAAACACTTAATAAAAAGCGTTATCATTATTATTATTATATAGTTGTGTGGGTTCAGAAAAAGTCACCACAAGATGTGCCTCTGGGGTTTGCAGATTATTTTGAGCTAAAGTCATCTTTAGCCACAGGCTCAAGAGAAACTTCTGTCCCTCCCTTTAACCACCTAAAAGAACTTAAATCAGAGGCTTTGCCCATAATAAGAGATTATGAAAGAGAAGCTCTTTTGAACTATCTATAGGGAAGAACAAACTTCTGTTTACTAAACTTGTATTCTTAACATCTCACAATGACCTTTTGAAGGTGCCAGGTACATTACCTCATTTCTAGCTCAGGATATCTTATATAACTCATCCCCCTTTCTACTTCTAAACTTCTCTTGCATGTGAGGCCTCTGATTCTCTCATGTATGTGGAGTTCCCATACATATATATGTATTAGATTTGTTTATTTTCTTTTGTTAATCTGTCTCATGTCTGTTTCATTATTCGACCAGCCAGAAGAACCTTGGTAGTAGGGGAAATTTTGTTTCTCCCCCATGCAGTTTATCAATTGAGATTTATGAGTAAAATCACATGGCACTAAATGGTAAAGTTAAAACTAATCTATTCTAAGATCCTTAATATTTACTCGTTAGGATTCCAAGTTCCCAATACCCTATATTTTGTTCTATTCTTTTCCATTATCCTTATCAGCTTCTAACCTGCTATTTTTTATTCATTATTTACATTTATTACTTATTTTCTTCCTCCTTCATCCATTTTGAACTAAAAAGTAAGTATTCCATAAGGGTACTGACTTTTTTTGTAATTTGTTCTGTCCATTGATGTAATCCAGTGCACGAGAGATAAAGTATGAGGCAAAGAGTCTGTAACTGATAAGGAGATAGGAAAACCAACCCCCAGTGAATTTATGGCTTAGAATCAGTAGAGACCAAATCCATCCAACATTGTGACTAATTTCACCTAATGCTAACCCCTAACCTCATTAACACTCATTGTTATACATTAGCATGTTAAATGACACACCCTGTACTGCCATAAGAGAAAACAAAAAGTCCATAAAAGGTCACAAAATGGCCAAGGGAGCTCTACCAAGAAGACTTTACCCCTTTCCTGGAAAAATTCTGAATATTCCTCCCCCTCACTGAATGCCATACCTTCAATCAAATAAACATCATTAAAGGCAGCAAAGTCCAATAAAGAGGGGCTGCTCCTGTCTGTGGATTAGCCCATTCTCTGTCTCACTACTCACTAATAAACACACTTTCTCTTTAACATTATGCTGGTTTGAATTCAATTCTTTCCTGCTTGAAGCCAAGATCCCACAGTGGGTTACCAACCCTACCCCCAAAATGCCTGCATCATATGGAATATCTTCCTTTTTTATCTTGAAATGTTTGTTGAATAAGTCAGTGAGTCAATAATTAAAACCTAAAGCTTTTCCAAGCCTAAAACTGTTCCCTTAAAAAAACCCGTCACCCTGGCCAGTGTGGCTCAGTTGGTTGATGCATCATTCCATACACCAAAATGTTGTGGGTTTGATTACTGCTCAGAGCACATACTTAGATTGCATCTTTAATCCCCAGTCAGGGCACATATTGGAGGCAACCAATCGATGTTTCTCTGTCATATCAATGTTTTTTTCTCATGCTATTCCACTCACTGTAAAATCAATCAAGTACATATTTTTTAAATTGTAGATTTTTTTTATTGTTGTTGGAGCTAGGAAGTTGTACAATGAAATAAAATGTACATGGCCAATGACAGTTTCTAGACATACCTAGAAATTGGAAAGTATTTTAAAAACACATTTCCCTTTCTTAAAAGAAAAAAACTTATTAAATCATTCATTAAAGAAATTTTAGGTAACATAGAAAGAGAAAACAAGATCATCCAGACATTGTGGTTCAGACATTTTAAGGTAGACAGTAATATTGTTTATATCACTCTTGTCTGTGTGGCTGTCTTTAGAGTATTTTCCTTCAGCTTTTTTGTTTGTTTGTTTTTTACAGTTTTCTCTCTTTGAATTATTGATCAAAAGATTTTCTTAGTATTTAGGTTTTTAATTCATGTTGCCATAGGAAGAAAATAGGAAATCTCTCTCTGGGACCTGTCTAGAAAAAATGAATTGAGATAGCAACTTTTTCAGGGCCACCTCAGTAACTCATTCTTTCCTCAACAGCCAGATTTATAACCATCTCTTAATAACAAGATATAACTAACCCCCATTTTTTCAACATTTTTCTTTTGTATATAAAGTTTTTCCTGAAATCTGTACAGGTTATAGTCAAAGATAGTATTTTTTAAATTTAATTTTTTTCACTTTTATTTTTAAATTATTTATTTATTTTTAGAGAAAGGGGAAGGAAGGGAAAAAGAGAGGGAGAAAAACACCAATGAATGAGAAAAAGATTTTGATTGGTTGCCTCTCACACTCCTCCCACTGGAGACCTGGCCTGCACCCCAGCATGTGCCCTGACTGGGAATCAAACCAGTGACTTTTTGGTTCACAGACCGGCACTCAATCCACTGAGCCACACCAGCCAGGACCTATTTTTATTTTTTTAAATCAGGAATTTAGAGCTCTGAGAAAAATTTTAAACTAATTTCAGAAACTGAACTTATAGTTAATTAGATAGAAAATTTTAAGACAAAACTCAGGAGATCAAAATTGTAACAAAATTGTTATCATAGGTAGATAGATATTGATAAAGGAAAGGAGTAAAGAGACATAGATATTAAAAAGCTTAAGCTACTAAGAAGCTACGGCTTCACACACTCCCTAAGGGGATCGCAGCATGCCCTGCCAAGAAGATTAATACTGTTCTCTCCTCTGTATAGAGAGAAAGGGTCAGCTTTCTAATATCCCCCGGGGTACAACCAGACCCTTTGCCTAGACTCTGAAGAAGGAGAAATAGAACAATGATGGGGAAGTAGGGACATGTGCAGTAAAAGCCAAGACAGTGCAGAGGCAGGTGCTTCTGTGGGGCATGTGCAGTAGGAACCAGGATGGTGACCATAAAAGCTTGTCAGTGTGACCTGGGAAAAAGATCAAATTGCATAAGGGACACAGAACCCCAGAAGATCCAGGAAATGGATAGGTTAGAGGGAGGATTCAATGCAAGCCTGCAAAGAATTGGGCAATTGATTGGCCTGTTTGAAAAGTTTCTGGTTTTCAAAGCCCGAGGTAATATAATCCAAGCAGACCTAGCAGCTTCCTGGGGCCTGCGGCAGACCTCACTGGGTCCAAGCATGGGCCTGAGGACAGTAGCAGCCAAAGCACAGCCAGAAACACAGACTAGGTCAATCCGATGGGTAATAAGGCTGGTCTGGAGTAAATACTGATAAAGTCTGAATGAACCAATGGCACAAAATTTCTGGATCTCTGCCTTTGTTCTGAGCTTGATGAAGACAAAACTGAACTTTTTCCATGGCAGGAAGCTGAACCTAGGACAGTCTTTTATGTTTGCTACAGTTCAACAAACTTTGCCACTAAAGCTCTGTCCTCCCATGTGGGTCCTTGAAATGCTTTTCTTGCAACACTACAAGGACCCCATTTCCACTG